TAGGAATGCTTAAGTTAATATGGTTGCTATTTCATGCTTCAGGTCACTTCTTAACTCTCCTGACAGAGAAATGGCTTCCACAACCCCAGAATTTCTACCACCGGACACAGGTTTATGGGCACCTTCTACCACCTCCTGAAGTCACCTACAACTTTATATTAGAAGATCTGGAAACTCTGGTGTTGAATGCACGTCCTAATACCTGTGTCCTCTTTGTAGATGACCAGTCTCTGAAGCTCCTCCACCCCTTAGCCTCCACTTTGGAGAATAAGCCTCATGCCTAAACCTATTCAAATCAGTAGAAAGGATTTTCAATGGTGGTAAATAGATATTAAAGAAAATACAGAAGCCATTTGAAAGTTGGAATCACAGAGCATTGGAGATGCAAGGAGCCTTAGAAACCATCTGGCCAACAACCCTTTCTCCAAGTCCCACTGGCTTTACAGAGACCGGTCTTGTGCTCAGAACCTATATCTGGACCAAGAGACCAGGGCTGTAGCCCTGGACCAGCTATACACTTTGTTCAAGTCATTTCTGTTGGCCTCAGTTTGTTTATCCATAAAACAAGGGGTTTGGAGATCATCTCAATAGTGCTTTCCAGCTTTGACATTCTATAAAATCAAACCAAGGATCTGGTCTCGTCAGTAATAATGAAAATGGGGTAGACTAGACAATGGAAGAAATAAGAAGCCAACTATTTTCAGACTCAGTTGAGTTTCCTGGCCATGAGATGATGTGTTTCTTTCCTCTGCTCCTCCCTCTTCCCCAGCCTGCACCCCCTTCTTTTTTTGTTTTTTGTAAACAACAGTTTTTAGTCTTTTCATTATAAGGCTCCTCTGTCTACCCTGGAATAAGAGACTAGACTGTAACTAGAAATCAGTCAGGGTCCCTGGGTTAGGGTGGACCCTGTTCTAACAACAGTTGACCTCTGAAGTAATTGCCTGGCGTGTCAGTGGTGTGGACAAAAATGTTGCCTGCCATTCCAGTAAACAATGACTATTGCCCACTATCAAGTCATCAGCCAACGCAGCCCACCCAACAGTGTGCCCTGAGGGGCATTCAAGATGGAAAAAAGCAGGAAACTAGCCCTAGATAGTTAAGATGCAAACCAAAGAAATAATTTCAATGAGCCCAGACTCTTATATCTTCTTATACAAAGAAAAGCACTAAAAACATTAACTGAAGATGTCTGGGGGTTTTTTTTGTGATTAACAGTAATCTTCTGATGTTTGGCTACATTTCTTTTAAGCGAAACTCCTATCTATCCTGGTTCTTCCGTCACCCCTTTGGAGCAGTTCCTCAGAGCTGTCTGAGAGGCTGATTCCCAGGCTATAGGACTCAGTAAGGTCCCCGAATAAAACAGAACTCTGAACTTTTAGGTTGTATGGGGTTTTTTTTTTAATCAACAGTGGGGTGGCAAATCAGAAGTATGACGGGGAAGAAAACCCACATACCAACCAGATCTGAACTCAGGTGAGATACAGCATTTCCTGGTTGGACGGTAGTGAGATGTCTGAGAGGGAAGGAAAGGGAGCCTGGGTGAGCCCCCTTGATAGCAGGAGGAAGGGAAAATAAAGGCTCCTGAATAAACCAGACCCAAAGTAGGGCTTGGCCTGAGGCCAGGGGAAAGCTGCCAGGCACTATGGGAGAGCCAGGAAACGGGTGGGACTCAGAGGCCCCACCAGAAATGGGCCTCCCAGACAAATCCAAACACGAGGCCCACCCAGGCCCACTGCTGTTGGCCACTCCTGCCCGAACAGCTGTTAGCAGAGAATATACTAGATCCTAAGGGAAGTGGATAATCCCAACATGAAAATTTGTTTGCTTATCTAGCAAATTATTTATAGAGAACCAGAAAGGATGTGAAATAGCTTGTGTGAACTTTCAAGAGGAAGGTAAAGAGATAAGAGTCAAATAAAGTTGGAAGGGGACAGAAATTATGTGCATGTTTGGAAACTAAAGCTAAGGGAAGCTGCTTCTGGTGAATATAATGCTTTACTCTGAACATTTTCAGGTTAATTTGCATGTTACGCGGTGGCGGGGTGGTGGTGGGGCTCAGTCGGAAGATTAACAATGGGCAGCATATGAGGGGTTAACTCCTAGCAAATCAAACCAATCAAGAGAAAAACCCCCTTGACGTGTGGTGACCACACACGTTTGCACAAATGTGGGATCCTGACTCTTTTGGCTTCCCTGCCTGGTACTACGAGAAATTCTTTGGAAGGCACATGATTTCTTTCAAAGCAAAATAATTTCTAGGGACTGCCCTGGCGGTCCAGTGGTTAAGACTCCGTGCTTCCAATGCAGGGGGTGCAGGTTCGATCCCTGACTGGGGAACTAAGATCCCACGTGCCTCGCGGCCAAAAAATAGTAATAATAATAATTTCTAAATTAGGAGAAAGTACCTAACAGCCTCTGGGAGTTACTTGTCATGAATGAACACAGATTGCCTTTGCTTAAGCCTGGCTTTCCTGTGGTTGGTGGAACTTCTCGTAACACTGGGGCTTAAGGGAGTGGGCTGATGTGCTGTTTTAGGCACTGACACTTAGAACCACTTGGGTGTCTAGTGGAACAAGTGACATCTCTAGCACTGAACTCAGGATCTAACCCCTCATTTTAATAAGCGCAAAAACAACTGCAACTCCAAGGTTGAGAGTCTCAGCTTGGAAGCATTTCCATCAGCTTCCTTCCTTCACCGTCTCCCTGGCCTGGCCTTTACTGTGGCTGTGTGTAAAGGATTCCAAATAATGAGCTGAAGACATTCTGTGACTTACTTTTCTACAAAGACACAGGGCCCACCCTTGGCTAAGCTCTCCTGCACTGGAACAGAGGAGACCCAGGCGAATCGGGAGCAGATGAATACCTGCAGGCCGATGGAGTCTGACACCAAAGCCGAGTTCATGGTATTAAAACTGTCCAGGGCTGACGACTGGGTCTGGATGTAATTCTGCTGATAATCCTGCTGAGCCTGTGAAACCTGGACAGATTGAGGAGACAGTTACACACAACCAATGCATACACACTCACGACAACCTTCAGCTACACACAACCAATGCACACACACTCACGACAACCTTCAGTTACACACAACCACTGCACACACACTCATGAAAACCTTCAGTTAGGCTGGAACATTCCCCTGATGGTAGCCACATCTGGGTCAGTGATATTTCAAGTACAGCTTTAAATTAAAAAGTCACCATCTGCATGACCCAGAGAGTAGAAAGACAAGACTACTTTTCCTTCGGATAATATTCACACATTCCCCCACAGGGCTTCACTTAGTCCTCGCAACACTTTGTGGCAGCCAGAACATTCTCTTTTATAGGGAGGAAACAGGATCAGAGAAGTTAAGGGATTTGTATGCAAATAGCTAGGAAGTGTAACAGCTACTTTTAGAACCTAGAATGCAGTTAAATACCTTCTTGTGCCATCTTGCTTTTTTTTTTTTTTTTAATTTATTTATTTGTTTTTGGCTGCGTTGGGTTTTCGTTGCTGCGCGCGGGCTTGCTCTAGTTGCGGCGAGTGGGGGCCACTCTTTGTTGCGGTGCGCGGGCTTCTCATTGCAGTGGCTTCTCTTGTTGCGGAGCACGGGCTCCAGGCACGTGGGCTTCAGTAGTTGTGGCACACAGGCTTAGTTGGTCCGTGGCATGTGGGATCTTCCCGGACCAGGGCTCAAACCCGTGTCGCCTGCAATGGCAGGCGTATTCTCAACCACTGTACCACCAGGCAAGTCCCATCTTGCTTATTTCCACTCACCATGGAAGGAATATACTTTGGGCTCAAACAGTTCTCAAGAGTTGTTTTGTGGCTGCTGCAGTTGTTGTGCTGTCTTTGTTGGACGTGTATTTAACACGTTTGAGAGAGATTCAACAGAGGCCAGTCTTAAACTAGACCTTAAAGAAGGGCTGGATATAGAAAGGCCAGGAGAGGACTTCCCTGGCAGCCCAGTGGTTGGGACTCCACTCTCTAACTGCCGAGGGCCCGGGTTCAATCCCTGGTCGGGGAACTAAGATCCCGCGAGCCTCGTAGTGCGGCCAGAAAAAAAAAAAAGGCTGGGAGGCAGTAGAACCAGGGGTAAGGTTTCTGGGAAGGCTCAAGGGTAGACCCCGTGCTGCCTGTGGGAGCCACAGGAAGCAGCCAGGCATGAGAGAGCGAGAGGTGCACCCTTGGGAGTGGGGGAGAGAGCTGAAACAGCAGCCCAGGCCCAGGAGGCACGTTCCTGCTCACGGTGTGTTCATACAGCAGTAAATCAGCATCTTAACCTGGCTACAGTCCGTGGTGTGGCCTGGAGGAGGAGGAGACTGAGGGTAGAGACTGAGCTCCTGCAACAGTCTAGCATGAGAAAACAGGGTGCGTAGGAGGTGGCAGTGGAAAGCAAGGGGCAGAGATCTGTTTTTGCATCTACTGCAAATCTAATCCTTTGGCTTTAATTACAGTCATTAGTGTCAGTGGAGGGCAGAGTGAATTTCCATAGGTATGTGAGAATTTCACAAATCTCTTCCTGCGTGTCAGTGAGCACGGGCTAGGTGGGTATGTTTGTATACCCCCCTCCCCTGTAATCAAGGCAGTAGGTCTTACTTAAGCAGATAATTTCACAGACCAGACATAAACTAGACTCATACACAACTGTGGCAACTGTGTTTCTTTCCTGCAGATGTTAACTTTTTTAAAAATTTATTCATTTTTTATAAGTAGGTTCTTATTAGTTACCTATTTTATACATATTAGTGTATACATGTCAATCCCAATCTCCCGATTCATCACACCATCACCCTCCCCCCGCCGCTTTCCCCGCTTCGTGTCCATACATTTGCTCTCTGCATGTGTGTCTCTATTTCTGCCTTGCAAACCAGTTCATCTGTACCATTTTTCTAGATTCCACATATATGTGTTAATATACAATATTTTTCTCTTTCTGACTTACTTCACTCTGTATGACAGTCTCTAGGTCCATCCACGTCTCTACAAATGACCCAATTTCATTCCTTTTTATGGCTGAGTAATATTCCATTGTATATATGTACCACATCTTTATCCATTCATCTGTCAGTGGGCATTTAGGTTGCTGCCATGACCTGGCTATTGTAAACAGTGCTGCAATGAATACTGGGGTGCGTGTCTTTTTGAATTATGGTTTCCTCTGGGTATATGCCCAGGAGTGGGATGACTGGGTCATATGGTGGTTCCATTTTTTGATTGGGTTGTTTGTTTTTTTAATATTGAGCTTCATGAGCTGTTTATATATTTTGGAGATTAATCCTTTGTCCGTTGATTTGTTTGCAAATATTTCCTCCCATTCTGAGGGTTGTCTTTTTGTCTTGTTTATAGTTTCCTTTGCTGTGCAAAAGCTTTTAAGTTTCATTAGGTCCCATTTGTTTATTTTTGTTTTTATTTCCATTTCTCTAGGAGGTGGGTCAAAAAAGATCTTGCTGTGATTTATGTCAAAGAGTGTTCTTCCTATGTTTCCTTCTAATAGTTTTATAGTGTCCAGTCTTACATTTAGGTCTCTAATCCATTTTGAGTTTATTTTTGTGTATGGTGTTAGGGAGTGTTCTAATTTCATTCTTTTACATGTAGCTGTCCAGTTTCCCCAGCACCACTTATTGAAGAGGCTGTCTTTTCTCCATTGTATATCCTTGCCTCCTTTGTCATAGATTAGTTGACCACAGGTGTGTGGGTTTATCTCTGGGCTTTCTATCCTGTTCCACTGATCTATATTTCTGTTTTCTGCAGATGTTAACTTTTATGGCAAGTATGTCATACAAAACGGATTTTTTTCCTTCAAGGTTATTAATCACAAATATTTTTTAAAATGTTTTCTCCCGTATGCGTTAGCTAGGTTAAACCAGAGGAAGCTTACTTTTTCTTTAATTTTTAGTAGGTAATACATTCATAGAGTTCAAACATTTTAAAAGTAGAAAAGGTATACACTAAAATAAATCTCCCTTTCACTCCTGTCCTATTTGCTCAATTACCACCTTGCCCACTCTGCACCTCAAGTAGGAATCACTGTTAATTACTTTCTTGATGATCCTTCTAGTAACTTTGTGTACACACACAAAACAGTCTAGATATATTTATTTTCCCCTCCTGGTTTACATAAATGGTAGCACACTACATATGATATTTTCCTATTTTCCTATGTCTTGCTTTTTTTACCACTTACTCTATATCTTTGAAATTTTTCTGTATCTCTTTTTGAAGAGCTTATTCATTCTTTTTATTCTTTTTTTTTGTTTTTTTTTTTTTACAACTCTGTGTATTATAGAGATGTAATTTATTTTACTTTCTCCTTCTTAAGGGACGTGTAGGCTTCCAATCTTTTTACTATTACAAACAATGCTTAACAACTAAGTTCATATATACGTCATCTCACATATGCGAGATTTGATCTACAGAATAAATTCTTAGAAAGAAGCTTGCTGAGTCAAAGGATATAGGCAGGCATTTATAATTTGGGTAGATACTGCAAATTGTTCTCCCTAAGAGTAATGCAAACGACATTCTAAGCAGCAATCTTCCTGTTCCTCCACAGCACGGCTAATACAGCATCTTGTCCCACTTTTGCAGTTTTGCCAGTCTGTTAGGTGAAAATAGCATCTCAGGACCATTTTAATCTGAATTTCTCTTATTGAGAATGAGGCCAAGCATCTCGTCATACATTTAAGAGCTCTTCATCTTTCCTTTACCATAAACTATCTGTCACAAATATTTCGCCTATTTTTACGAGTTGTGGCCTTTATCCTCTTGATTCATGGGCGCTCTTTAAATACTCGGGATATAAGCCTATTATCTATAATATGAAGGCAAATAATTTTTCCCAGCTTGTCATTTTTTTAAAAAATTTATTTATTTATTTTGGGCTGTGTTGGGTCTTCGTTTCCGTGCGAGGGCTTTCTCTAGCTGTGGCAAGCGGGGGCCACTCTTCATCGCGGTGCGCAGGCCTCTTACTGTCGCGGCCTCTCTTGCTGCGGAGCACAGGCTCCAGACGCGCAGGCTCAGTAGTTGTGGCTCACGGGCCCAGCCGCTCCGCGGCATGTGGGATCGTCCCAGACCTCCCAGACCAGGGCTCGAACCCGTGTTCCCTGCGTTAGCAGGCAGATTCTCAACCACTGCGCCACCTGGGAAGCCCCCAGCTTGTCATTTGACTTTGGTGTTTTTGTCAGCACTAGTCTTCAGTTTAATGTAGTCAAAATTATCAACTTCTCCTTTTGTGATTTTGGGATTGCACGTCATAGTAGGAAACTGCCTTCCCCACCCCAAGAGTATAAAAGAATTCACACATATTTTCTTCTGGCACTTGCAAGTTTCATTTTTTAGCGTCTTTGATCTATTCAGAATTTAGCCAGGTATAAGTCTGTCCAGGTATAAGCATATACTGACTGGTCCATTTTCCTCCCTTCATTTCAGATGCCACGTTGATCATATATTGGGGTACATTTCTGGGCTTTTGCTCATTGATGTCTATTCATTTATGTGCCAGTACTATATACTGTTTTAATCACTGAGGCTTTCTCAATTTCTTGTAATATTAAGAGGGATAGTCTCCTTCATGGCCTTTTTTTTCCCCAGAATTTGAACTTTTCATATTTATTTTCTGTATACCATGGAACCACCTAGTCCAGTTGTAAAAAGCAACATAAAAATCTGTTGGTATTTTTATTGGGTTATATTAAATTTGTATATTAACTTGAATGGTATTAACATCTTATGATGTTGAATCTTCCTTTCTAAGTACATGGCATATCTTTCTACTTGCTAAAGCCTACTTCCAGATACCTGGTAGTTTTTGTTGTTGTTATTTCCTCTAACTGGTTGCTTTCTGTATATTGAAACCTAACGTGTGTCCATTAATTGTTTACCCTGCTACCTTACAGAATTCTTTTATTGTTTATAGTAGTTTTTTTATTGGTTCACTTGAGCTTTCTGGGTATATCACCATATAGTTTGTAAACAGTGACAGTTTTACATCTACTTGTCCTGTTTTTATACCTCTATAAACTGTTTTTAATTTATTTCTCTTGTTTCATTCCATTGGCTAGGGTCTCCAGTACAATGTTAAATAATAGTAGTGGTAGCTGGCTTCCTCATCTTATTCCTGATTTTGGAGCGAATGCTTTGAATGTAAAGATTACTCTCGCCACAAAAATTTTCCTGTAAATAATAAACTTCATTCTGTGATAAAATTCCCTCGGTTCATTTAAACTATGATTCCATCATAAGGAACACCATAAACTCAAATATCTTCAGGCACTAGCAACTGAGAGGGAGCTCTAAGCTCTAGCATCCCTCCACACTTGACTTACTGACAGTTCCTGGGTGAGCTGTCGAATCTTCTGTCTCATTTCATCATAGTCTCCGTACATTCGCTTCCTTACATTTTCCAAAGTGGCTCTTACCTGCAGCCCGCAAAGATGCTAGTTAGAGATCAAGCTACAATATTTTCAAGGGAGATTTCTGAAACATTTAAGAAACCCTAATGAGAGAAGGGCCCCACAAAAAAACAATCTTAAGAACAGGACAACTGGGATATTAAGAAAGAAGATCTAATTAGAAGCTGATGGAATTATCCAAATAATATTGATGATAATAATAATAATAAATGCAGATTGTGATTATATATAATTATTGATAACTAGTAATTATACAAATGACATGCTCTAAAGAAAGATTCGTTCACTGAAATTCACCTACCACCCTTAAAACCATATTCAGCCCAGATTTTCCCCTTTTCCTATCACATGTTTTTACAAGTAGAAAATGCTGAACAAGTTGACTTTCTAAACACATGGCCAGGAGGGACCAAAAGACCGAAAAGCGAAAGCCACCTCTAATTTTCCCTATCTCTGCCCTGACCGCCAAAGAACAAGTAAACGTTTGGAATACGAGGCAGGAAAGTATGAGCTTAGAGAGCCCGTAAATGTGAAATTCAGTTCCTCAGTAATCGCCACCAATACACAAGGCACTAAATAGAAAAGTCAGTTGATCCCCCAAACACCTGTTTACACAAACTCTGTTTAAATTTCTCTACAGTACCACTTCCAGAGGAGTAACGGGGCCTTAAATATATTTTCAATAAAAACAAAAAAACCTAACAAATAGTCCCTGTCTCCCCCCTTCTTCTGGTGCCCCTAGGAGGATGAAGAACTCAGGGGTCCTGGAATAGAACAGGAAGCCTCAAGGGAGCCCTCTCCAGAATGCTCTGGAACTTCTATCACAGGAAAGGCTCAAAGGCAGCAGTTTGGTTTGATGGGTGTGTAGGGCACAGCATGAGCGGACCTAATTTTGAAGCTGTACTTGCACAACTAGCACGTTGTTTTAAACTGACTGCATGTTTATTAGGAGTGACTGGATATTGGTGGAGATTCCAGGGCAGGAAGGAGAGGGCAAGTCAAGACACCACGCCCTCCCCAGATGGCCTCTAGTAATAAAGACTACTTTCTTGTCATTGACTACAAACGTTTTGGGGAAATGAGCCAAAAGCACAACTTTTCATTCTGGGCAGGCAGAATGGCTCTCATCTGTGGCCCTGAGTTAGCTCTTGGGCTGCTCACCATTGGGAAGTGGGTGGAGCTGGGTGTTGTTCCCACTGGCAAATACTGCAGGAAGCCAACTAGGCCAGAGTCACCCACAAGCAAGGGAGGGCACACAAACCCATTAAACACACTCAGGAATGAAGAGCGAGTGACAGGTCTGAAACCAGCTATAGAAGGTGTTTACCTGGAAATTAATTTTAAGTTGCAGATCACAGTGGCGGTTTGGAAATTCAGGTCAGTTACTCCCCTGTGACCTGGGCACCTGACAGCCTGAACCTACTATCTTGTCTTGCGCAATCTGCAACTCTCCAATCTGCTTAGAAGGTTTACCTCTAAAGTGGTGCCATGTTATTTGGGGCATTTCAGTGAGGAAGGCCTAAGCATTTCCATGAGAAAAATACAGGAAACTAGGAAAGCAAGCTGTTCCTACCTAGGAAAATGAGGAATGGGATACTGTGAATGGTTAAAACTGATCTTTGGGGGTTGGATGACTGGGGCTCTGAGGCTGCTGGTTGTCACACATATTCTGCATGTTTGTGCATGAGTATGGCTCTTCTGGCTTTTCTTCATTTTCTCTGCTAAGCATTTATTATCTTTTTTATTCCTTAAAATTATACAAGTATCCAAATCTTCTGAGACACATTAAGAAATGCACATTTATTATTTTTGATATTTGATAAGAGATGTTCTTCTCAAAACCTCAAACAAAAGCTGACAACATGTGTTTTGTGTCTTATTCGCAAACACAACCAAATAAAATGAGGCACAAAGAACTAGTTTTGACCTTAAGGGTCCCTTCCCAGACCTCACCATCTATACATGAGAAAACTGAAGCCCAGACAGGGCAGAAGTTTGTCTGGGCCAAAGAGCCAGACCTTGAACCAAGATCCTTGGGGACTCTATTGCCCACGCTGCCCCTGCTTCTCACTGTCTAGTCGACAGGCCAGTGTTTTGGTGCAGCTCATTGCCTCTCTATCTAATCACTCTGGTTTGGGTCACAAAGGCACTGGTCAATCTAGGGAGACACTGGGTGGACCAAAAAGGAATGGAAATGATGGATGGATGGATGGATGGAGGGACAGGTAGGCAAGTAGACAGATATAGATAGATAAGATAAAAGAGAAACGAAAAAATTACAAGGAAATCCTCCAAAATGTTAACAACTGTTCTGGTTGAATCGTAGAATTACGGGTGATTTTGTTTTCTTCTTCATACACGTTTACATTTTCCAGAATTTCTCAATAGACCATATAGTTTAAAAGAAACGTAATATTCAGTCCCTGGTCAGGGAACTAAGATCCTGCAAGCCGTGCAGCATGGCAAAAAAAAAAAAAAAAAAAGATATTAATTACAAAAAAATTGTATTAATTGACCTGGGTTGGACAATGTCTGTCGTGGTTGACTTCCCACCATCCATTTCAACCTAACTGATTGGTCTGAACCAGCAATAGTCATCCTATTCCCCTTGCCAGTGATGGATTTGGGAACGGGCATGTGAGCTGGGTCCTGGCCAATGAGAAACATGGGGAAGTCTAATGGAGGGTCTTTATAGAGTAACCAGAGATGACTGTCCTCTTTTCCTCCTCCAGACACCATCGTATTTTTAGATGTTGCCATGAGCATGAGGCTGAAGGAGAAAAGAACCAAGGGAAACTCAGAGAAGCAGAACTGGAGCTTGGAGAGACCTGTGCTTAGAGCCCACCTACCCCTAGAGTTACCCCCACATGAGACAAATTCCTTTTCAAGTTGGCTTTTCCATTACTTGCAGCAAAAAGCATCCAAATTAATATAGTCGTCCAAACTTGTACGAGTGTTCAGTGTAATAAGCAAAACTACTTAAGAGCCTACTTATCATGCATGGAAGAAAGAAGCCATTTGGTCTCCTGAGTATCCCTACTTAGTAACATCTAGAAATTCTCTACACCTCACTGCAGAATTACATCTGCGCTTTTCCTATTACCACGAAGATCTGTAGCCACATTTCCATGCACAATGATAACACTTAGAATTGTTTCAAAATGCCTTATTACATTCATATCAATGCTTCCACCTCCACCCTCTTACATGCTGCAAGTGTATAAACCAGAAAAAAAAAAAAAAATCCTTAAACAACTCACGTCTTTGATGTAGTTCATCTCTTCTTTCAGCTGATTGGTGGTCCACCCATACACCACCATTTCTTTCTGCTGGTTTTGATCTGATCTTCGCACCACACCATAGACAACACCCTGAGGCAGTTTCATGGTGGGTTCACCGTTGCTCAGGTCACGATACTAAAAGAGGAGAGAAAGAGAGAAAAGAATAATGACTCTTTAGGCCTCGTAGAGACAGCTGTCATCATGGGCCCACTGTATATGGTTATGCAGGTTGTACCCAGCACTAGGGTGCCTTGCAGTGGGGAGAGCGGCCAGTACACATCCAGCCCGGTCTCTGCTTGCCAAGTCACACCTGGCGTGGGCTGAGCCTGCCTTTACCCTGGAGGAATAGCACCTTTCCCTAATTTCTACCAAAGCTCTGTTCCTTTACCTTGTAGTACATCTGCAGGGCCCCATCTTCCCAGAGAAGGTGTCTTTATGTAATTCTCACAAAGGCGCCAGGTGGACTCGCGCCATCCCTGATAACAAGAGTGAGTGTCTAAAATCTCGCATTCTTGGTAATACTGTTTTTCTCTTTATACCAGTTCCTCTGTATGACTTCATCCTCATCATTAACTGTGTGGCCTGAAATGCATGAGGTTGAGATACGCAAGGGAAGAATTTTGGCAGCCATCTGGCAGCCAGATTGTCCTCTGAGGTTAGGGCTGACCCTGGAGCCAGTTCCGAGGAAAGGGGGTAGGGTCACCTGTTGTGACCATTCATGAAATGTTTCTGAAAAGCCAGGTAGAGGTGGTATAACTTCACCCCAAAAGAATCTTCTGCTCCTTAACTCTCTCAGTTAAAGCTCTGATCAGTGCTAAAGTGCAAATACCTTTGGGAAGTGGGGAACATGTCCAAGTCCTAACACATCTTCACAGACTGAAGGCTCAAGGAGCAGGAGGAAGAGAAACTAAGATTTGTTGAGCACCTACTATAAGCTAGAAATGTTCCTTACACGTTTAATCTTCACAACGACACTGTGACATGGTGACTGTCCTCTCCACTTTATAGCTGAGAAAACTGAAGTTCAGAGAGGTTAAGTCTCTCCCTTATGGTCACACATCTAGATTCAAGCCCAATTCTGTCTGACACAGTGCAGGCTTTGTTACATGTAGAGGCACAGAGTAGGCCTTCACAATATGGAAGGGAAGGGACAGGAAAAACTCAAGATGAGACAGTGAGACTTCAGAGAAAAACCAGCCTACATCTAATCTTCCTTGGGACAAGGCCACAGAAGGCTGAATTCCATTATGGCAACTCTGTTCTTACACTAATTTTAAAACCACCTTTGCATAAATTCTTTCTATGCACTTGCGAAACATCTTTGACATATAAAATTATAGTTTGCATTTTAAAATCATTCATTTGCAGCAGGACAGTAAGTACTTTATAATCCCATTCAGTCAAAGTTTGTAAAAGTAAAGCAAAGTTACCCGACAAATTATTAATCATTAACGACCTCTAAGGAGGGGACAGTGGGGAGGGGCAGGGATGCTGGAGGACAGGATGACTTCAATTTTTTCTTTATACCCTTGTGTATGGTTTGTTTACAATGTGAGCTTTTTAAAAAAAAATTAAGAAAACGAAACAGCCATTGCTTCCCACTCTTCTGTACAAACCTGTTAAGAGAGAAAATACGAGGAATGGGACACTGCATTTGCTTCTGGAAAATGCTTCCACTTCAGCCCCTCATACCTGGGTCCCATGGGCACTGAGGCAACTCCTGAACTTGGTACCTAAGTTTAGGTGAGTGGGGGGGTTAAATGGCTCTCAGTGGAGCGCAAAGCTGGGATTAGATATCCCTGCTTTACTACACATTTAATTAGGAAGAGGAAAAGCTCTAATGAAACTCCCCACATACCAGGAAACAAAAGCATGCTCTTTCTGTCACCAACTCCACCCAGTTCCTGAAAAACAAGCTGATGTCGGCCTAAGGCTTTGGGGAAATGCATTTCTGCAAAGCAAAGGTTTTCGCAGGTGGACTGGCTTACGGGAAAATGCTCAGGTGGCCGGATACAGAGGACTCTGCCTCCCTGCCCACGCGGGGAGATGAGGTCCATCACTGACGGAGGCAAATACAAACATGCCAAAGACAACACAGTCTGTGAAACACCACCCTGGAGGTCGTGGATCTGAAAATTATGCACATGGAAAGATACCAAAGTTCTGTTAAGTAAAAAATAGTAAATTTCATATTCCCATTTTTTGTTTTAGAAGTGTGTGTTTGAGTACATAAAACACCTAGCAAGATGGACTCCACACCGTTAATGATAGTTTCCTCAGTGAAAAAGGGGATTTCACTCTTCCCTTTATGCTCTTCTGTATTCTATTTTTTAATTAGTTTGAAATAACAGGCATTATTTTTGAATTGATCGTTTTTATTTTAATTTTCAAAACCTGAAAACTAAAAAATTATTACAAGGTCAGGGTCTAAATGACAGACCCACAGGGAAGGGCCCAGCACAGGACTCTGCTCAGAGGCAGGGCCACCAGCATGCACCGTGCCACAAGGACAGGACCCCTGAGGCAGCGCGAGGAGCTGCTGGGCTGTGACGGGGAAAGGGAACGGAGGGTTATAGAGAAAGAGAAGGGGAAAATATGTGTTGCCTAGCCATTTTATTATACAGTATTTAATCCTCACAGTTACCCTACTGTGTAAACATTACTCTTTCTTCCAAGGTGGTAGCATTCAAGTGCCTGTGCAAGTCTTTCCAAATCTAGGCCCTTTTCTGAACCAGAAAGCCTTCAGGATAGCTAAGGGGAGAGGAACTGGAACACACATGTCCCTGCGGCCCACAGACCTCAGGGCTACGGGAGCCAAGAGCCGGGCCCTCAGGGCCAGGGCCACTGGGAAGAGAGGGGCCAGGATGGGAGCCTCTTCCCCAGCCTCCTGGCCCCCACCACCTCCTCTCTGTTCCTTTATCAGCCAACCTCCTTCTTTTTTTTTTGGCGGTACGCGGGCCTCCCACTGTTGTGGCCTCTCCCGTTGCGGAGCACAGGCCCCGGACGCACAGGCTCAGCGGCCACGGCTCCCGGGCCCAGCCGCTCCGCCGCATGTGGGATCTTCCCGGACCGGGGCACGAACCCACCTCCCCCGCCTCCG